GACAGCACCATGGCCGAACCCCCAAACCCGATCTACAAAGCCATCGAAGCCATCGCGAGCTCGCCCGCCCGCGACCGACGATTCACGTATTTATCATCATCGAGACGAACCTTTGCCCCGAAGTGCTCCCGACCCTCAATGAGGTCCTCCAAGACCCGGGGCTTACCCAGGAAATAGGATGGGACTGGTGTTCAACCTCGTCAGTCTGCCCGGCGCCGAGGCATGTCTTGAAACGGTTGCGCGACTGGGCAACCCCCGGGAAGTGATCCTCAAGGTGCTCGAGACGCTCGAGCTGTTGGAGAGCGAAGAAATAGAAGATGAGGAGGCCGGAGAGGAACAAAGGAAACCTAAACCGACTGTCTCACCAACCGACAAGTTCATCACCCTCCTCGGCATGCTCGCCATTCTGCACAAGCGCATCCAGACCAAGTACCCCAGCCGCTTCCTCGCACAGACGCTGCTGACTGTCTACCGCACCTACCGCCCGAACCAAGAGATGACGGCGTCCGTCCTCAACCTAGTTCACAGCCTGTCCGGCCAACGGCGGCCCCCGCTGCCGAGCCGAAAGTCCAGCGTAAACGTGGCCAACCCGGACCAGACTGGCGACGCTTCCAAGAACGCCCCCGACCCGGAGGCCGACCGCGACGACCGCGAGGATCCGGACGAGACCGAGCTGCAGCAGAAGTTGTTGTTGAGCTTCGCGACGTGCATCTTGGAGGCGTACGCCAACGGGAATGAGATGGCGTGGGCGGCGCGCCTGCTAGAGTTCTACAACCCGGAGAAGATAGTGCCTGGGCGGCGGACGTTGATGGCTGCCTTTAGGGAAGAGCAGGAGCTGCTGTCGAGGGATTCTATTGTCGGGAAGTTGGTGGTGAGTATTTTAAGTTATCATTCTGCTCGGGGATACAAATCTGACCTTCACAGGCACTCATAGGTGACCTCGGCCTTGACTCATGCTCCAAGGCCTTCATCCACCAGGTCTGCGACGGCCCGATGCACAGCGAGCCCCTCGAAGAACCAGACCTCTCCAGCCCGGACAAGATTGCCCTCTCAACTGGCGGCTGCGTTTGCCTAGTGGCCTACTGGGCCTTTTCGTCGACCGTCTTCGACGCCACCCACCCGCGGCCCGAAATGCACGTCTTCCCCGAGCACTTTGCCGTGCTCGACAAGTTCCTCCAAGACGACGCGCACTCACAGATTCAAAACTCGGTTGGCACCATCGAGGCCCTCATCACGATCGGCCTCTGGCTCGAGTCCAACAACCTCGTCTCCACGAACCCGTCCTCCCCGCTCGCCAACCCGACCGCCTCACCAGAAGACCCAACCTCGGACTTCATGCGCTACATCCACCTCACCACGCTCATCGCGCTCTACCACCCCTCCATCCAGGTCCGCAACGCAGCGAGCGTGCTGGCCGGCCTGGTGCTGCACGCCAACCCCGAAGACGACGACCGCCTCAAGATCCTAGAGGACCTGCTCGAGAACTGCATGTTCGCGACGCTCAAGGCGCGCGCCGTCGCCTGGCTGCGCGAGGAACTGCTGGAAGCGGCGAAACAGCAACAGCAACAACAAAAACAGAAAGAGGAGACCCCCCAAAAACAACAGCCAACCAACCTATTCGCCACCCCACAAGCCCTCGAAACAGTCCAATACGTCGTCTTCCCCCCGCTCGCCTCCCTCCTCGACCTGCCCACCCTCGGGCTCGTCGAGTACCTGACCGCCAACGCGCCCTTCCTCATGCAGGCCGTCAACTTTGCCCTGTTCTTATGGGGTACTTCTACTTCGGCGGAAGGCGAGACGGCGAGCGAGAGCAGG